GGTCCAAAAAAAAAAAAAAAGAAGCTGAGAAAGTCAAAAGCCAGCCTTTCGGTAAAAAAACATTTGAAAATATAGCGGTCTATTTCGTGCCTCCTTTCCTCGAAAAACTCTCCGCCTTTTCACTATGATACATCCATGGTGCCAAACGCACGTCAGCGTGTCAAATTGACGTCTGCCGACCCCAGCTCGCGCACGAGAACTGCGTCACTCGGACGTGCGCGTTCGTCAACAAGCACTTCGTCGATGAATATTTGAATTCGCGTTCGTGGCCAATAAAATGCCCTGACAAAACTTAACATCACTTGCGAATGCCAACAAGTTCTACGGTGTGCTTACAAGCACTATGGAAGCTTGGAGACATCGCACCGGTGTCCTAGCGTGTCACGACCACGTGAATTCTCAGTTCGCTTTTGAGTTGAGGATTACAGGTAAGGAAGAAGAAGTTAAAAAATCGTTTCATGGCCCCTTTAAGCAAAATGACATTACTGCTCGGCCAATCCGCGTGTTTAATACGCCACGCTGCGCGTGCACCCGCCACGTACTGAACCAGCATCACGAGCTGATTCGCCGAGCTGTGAATGACATTCGAGCAAAATGACATTTACTTTCCCATCTGACAGGGGTATAGGGCTGACTACAGCCATCACTGACCTTTCACGAAGGGACCTACATTTACAACAAACGAACTGGTTACCTGACATCCAAAGCATCGTTGTATCCCGAAAATCCATCATTTAATATATACTAAAAAATTAATCGTTATTTCTTGTCCCTTTGTCCCTCACTACCAAACTGAAGAGCGAATCCAGCCTTCACGAAGAAGGACGTGTAGTTTTCAAAACGGACCTCCCAATCTCCCTACCATCTTCTTCGCTTGCTCGTCTTGCGGACAGCAACATCGAGAAGCAACTGCCGTTAAGTTAAAAGACGGGAGTTTCTTAAATTGAAACGTGTGAGGTTGTTGTAAAACGCTCGTGCAATGTGAGGTAACTACATTTGGCTCCTCTGAATCGCCCACAACAAAATATGATTGAAACCTGACATTTTTAAAGGAGAATATTTCAACAAATAAAACCCTGCTTCAGCTTGTCTTCTTCTCCTGGTGCCGTTCCATCACGACATTCAAATACGTATGTTGCCATTTGATGGGATAGCAAAAAAAAAAAAAAGAAAACTTTGCTTGATCTAACTAAATATGGTAATCAGCAAAATACGAATGTAACGTATATGTAACGATAGGTTTCATTTTCTTAACTTTAACGGGTACAAGTTCCTTTTTCACGTATGGCATTTGTAAGGGAAACGCGTTCCAAAAGTCTGAAGGAACGAGGCTCGAACTTTTGTTCTTTTTCCAGGAACGTGCACACCACTGCCTGCAACGTGCTATCCTGCACACGAGTGGCTATAAAACGCGAGCGGCTGCCGTTCCATGCCGGATGCTCTCTGAGAAGAACGAGACATTGTGATTTATCTCTCAGATTGATTGCTCTTCCCGTCTACGATCACATCGCCACCTGGACGTTTGCGATGCTCCATTTCACTTTAAAGAGATGCTGAACCGAAATTTTGGATTTCGCAAAATAAGGTGGCAGGAGTGTTCAACGGGCGCCAAAAACCCCAACACACCACTCATGAGGCGATATCTCGAACGGATGGCCGTATTTTTGTAAAATAAGGATGCGATTGAGTGAGAATCGCGACGTCGCGTTTCCTGAAGGACAGTTGAGGAGGCGGCGAAACGGCCTTGCTTCTTTCCCACTGGAAGTCCTCGCGGAGTCAAAGTGAGAAGAGGAGGAAACGAGAACCGCGACGGCCTTTTTGGCCTTGTTCAAGCGCGCTGTTCTTTCCCAAATATACGACCATCCGATGAAGATATCGCTTTACGGGTGCTGCTTTCGGGTTTGTACCTTCCCGCCTAGGGCTTCTGCATTGTTTTCTAAAACCAAAATTTCGGTCGAGCATCCCTTTAAGTACGGCAGCAGCCGATGCTGTAGTATCCGATGGAGCAAGCCAGGCAATGCCCAACGTGCATCGTTTGTAAGTATGATCTGTGGGCGTCGCAATCTTGCTCTTGGTGTGTGCAGTGTGCAGATCAACGCTACTATAGACCGAAGTAAGTTGTCAAGCCTTCTAGAAAGCCTGGCACCTCTTCGTGGCGCTTTACACGCTTTCGGTGGCGCTTGATATGATATCAGCCCGCCCTATGGGCAAAAGTGCCGGAACCTGTGGAACGTTGGGTGCATATTGCCTGTGCTGGAAGGTGAGTCAATATTGCGTCTTTTTTTATGGTAAGTATTAAGCTTGCCGAAAAGCTTACGCGAAAAGAGCGTCATTCGAAAGCGGTCCGCTTATAATACTTGGTTCAAGAAGTCCTGGCGCAGCCGGCTATACGAGGTAATGGTACCAATCAAGCAGCGTAAAGAACGCAAATCATTATAGGTCGTTTCTGTTTATGCGGTTCAGCGATGATCGAACATGTACAGAAACATAACAAACACCATGACGGTGCGCTTTTGACGCTCTCTGATTGGTCCCGTCAGCTCGTGTCGTCGTCTGATAAGAACGCTATCCGCCCGTACCGGAATTCGCGTACAGGCAACAGAGAACAACCGTTTTGAAACGCCGCTCTTTCGTGATACACTCCAAAAAATGCCCGTGAGTCTGCTTTCCCGCACAACACTCGGAGAGCCAATCACCGCAACTTACCAAGGCAGCTCAGCGAATGACGACGGCGAAACATATGTTTAGACCAAAAAACGCAGTCTGAGTTGTGACATTAAGCAATGCAAGCGTGACGTTTTACATTGCTTAATGTCACAACTCAGACTGCGTTTTTTGGTCTAAACATATGTTTCGGCACTGTCATTCGCTGAGCTGCCTCCGTAAGTTGCGGTGATTGGTTCTCCGAGTGTTGTACGTGAAAGTAGACGCACAAACATTTTTTAGAGTGTAAGCTTGCCGTGATAAATCTAAGCACGTTGGTGCAGATCGTCACAGTCTAGGAATTGCTAAGGCGCGCCCACAGTTGCTAGACTGGTGCGCGACAAAGCGTTTTTAAATCCGCAGTGATAAGACCATCCTTCGAAGCCGGGGCCTCGAAAAAGAAGGTGAGAGAAAATTAAGCCTGACCGCGCCCGAGGCTACGATCTGATTCAGCCAATGGGCGCGTTAAGTCCGCGCTCCTTTACTCCTACTCAGAGGCTCCGAGTTTTATATTCCGAGAGCAGCAACTAAACGACGTATGGCGTACTTAAGCGTGACACGCCGATGCTGCGTTCGAAATCTAGTCGCATGGATCCGAGTTCCCCTGGCGGATTATGTCATGTGACAACAAAAATAGAAGAACGCTGGACGCGGGTAGGTTTTCGCACGCTAAGGTACAGGCCCTTTACCCTATAGAGTGAGATCGAGTGCCATTTTGGAACGCGCCCCGAAACTATCGACGAGCCCCACGAGCTCCTTCCGGCCGCACGGTTATGACGAACCCGGCTTCTTCTGGATACGGGTGGCAGAAGCCGAAATTATTTCGAAGATAAATTAATTATGCCCATGTGGAGCATCAGAGTTTAAAGCAAAAGAGACGGGGACGTTATGATGTTTCTACGGACGTTTTAAAAGCTCACTTCATGCACATATGTGGAAAGTTACCTTGGCCGATCTATTTATTGACCATGCCTTCTCTTGCGATTTAAATGAAAGACAACATTCTTGAACCCGCTCGTCGACGCAAAAACCCTCAAATTTGTCAGAGATTCCGTGGTTCCCCCTCGCGATGCCAGACGGAAGCTACGCCCATACCGGCACACCGTCGTTCGATTGCAAGTCAATTCGTTTTTGAGCGGCATGAATGAGCAAACCTTTTCCGCAACACTCAGCTGATATGTTTCGGCTTTCCAATCAAAGTATATTGATTCGCTGGGCTAAGCAGCAGCGTTCCGACTGTCTTCCCATCTTAACTTTTCTGTCGATGAGCTGTCGGCACGCTACCGCACGATAGATGAATTTGTTTTCAGGCGAGATGCATGACCAAACCTTTCCTACAACGCTAACTGATATTTCGGCTTTGCAATCTAAGTATCTTAATTCGCTGCGGCTGGGCTACGCATTCTAAGCAGGGCAGCGGACAAGTTTTCTGTCGCCCAGCTATCGGCACGCTCGTTAGATAGATCAATTCGTTTTTAGGCAAGACGCACGAACCAACGTTTTCCTCAACGCTCGCTTAGGTTTCGGTTTTCAAATCGAAGTATATTTATTCGCTGGGCTGAGCATTATAAGAGGGGCAGAGCGATCCGCATGTCTCCTCATCTCGACAACTTTTTTGTCACTGTGCTATCGGCACGCTACCGTTTGATAGATGAATTTCTTTTTCAGGCGAGATGCATGCATGAACAAACCTTTTTCGGAACGCTAATTTCTGTCTTGACTTTCAAATCAAATCGTTTTTACCTGCTGGACTAAGCACTAATCAACTGAAAAAGGGCAGCGGTCCGGCTACACCTTTCGTCTCAACGGTCTCAACAGCAGCGCAGCAATCGTGTTTGTTTACTTGACGTCACGGAGCGCGAAGAAGTCACTCGCGCTCCGAGAAATTCTCGGTGCACGAAGAGCGCGCTCGAGTGTCAGTCTCCGGTGGCACTCCTGTCCGTTTAGTGAAAGGAGCGCCAAACTCTCACGCTCCGGAGCACGGACTTAACGCGCCCAATCAAGCAGCGAGAAAAGTGCATCGTGCATCGTCGCTTTTGTGTGGTTGCCTCCAGCGACTAAAGCAATCACGCACGGTGAATGTATCGCGATCCTGCGCTTTTTCTGTACGTGATTGGTTTAGACGGTGATTGGCTCAGTTAGACGTGTGCCTGATTGGCTCCATGAGAGAGTTTTTCTGATGGATTCAATCACGCACAGATTTATGTGCGTGATTGGCTCCTTTGGATCGCAGCCTCGGCGGGGGTAGAACTACAAGTAAAACACAGTATAGAAGTACTAAAAAAAAGTGCTTAAACCTTTTCAAGGAGCGCATCCTTGGTTTCTGGAAGGTACGCTGTGTTGGAATTCCTGAGCCATCCGTGCACCACTATCACGAGGGGTCTCCGAATGTCGAACTGAGTCAGCGTCGTGTTGGCGCATCCCGATTTGTAGTCCAAAGTCACCGGCGACTGACGGTTGCTTCGGGAATACAAAAGAAATGCCGTCTTCACTTTGTCGGGGTCATCCGGAAGACAAGTCGGGAGAGTTAGTCCGTCGTCAGATGTGAAGCAGCCGACGTAAGCGTAGCAGACGTAATCGCCGCTGCTGTCCACTATCTGAAACGAGAGTTGGGTCGCATCTTTGCTTAACCATTTGTTTCTTGCACCTTCTCGGAAATGCACGCGGTGGCTTTTCCCCGTGGTGTATACTAAAACACACGAACTATTGTTTGCATCCCAGCAAAAGGCGAGGCTCAGGATACGACTAGGTTTAAAAACTGCGATGTGCGCAGGGACGATGGGCAAGTGAAACGTCATTCGCATTGTCCCTGCGAGTATCGAACCTTTTGCCAGAACCGTCCATGGTAGGTATAAGGTTTAAAAGCGCCTTGTCCCTGTCGGTTGTGTTATTTTCTATTGTCCCTGTCTGTTTGCGCTTTTAAACCTTATACCTACCATGGACCAACAAGCCCAAACCAAAGTTTTAACGTATTCTAAGCTTCGCCATTCCCTTTCTCTGGCAAATGGGGAAGGGCGATCTTGGTATTGTTTGCCATGATTCGTTGCCTCGTATTCAGAAGAAAAGTGAGCTCAGTCTTTTTTTAGAGTGCAGCGTGCAGTATATATATTATTATATTATTAAATAATTAGAGCGTCACCGCTCGTCCTTCTTACTGGTTTGGCATGTGCGGGTATTTTCACCTCAATTCAGGCACTGTTTTGGGGTAGAAGTTTTAATTTTGAGCAAACAGATTTATGTTTGTGAGTGTTCTTGTCATGGCATTAAAGTTATTGTGTTATTGCATTAAAGGTAGGGAAAGGGAAAAAGTAAAATGGATTAGTGGGCTTGTTGGTACATGTTTCACTTGTAACGCGCCTAAAAAAACGAGGACACGAGGAAGACGAGATAGGACAAAACGCTAACTTAGAACTGAACGTTTATTGCAACACACTTACTATTTGTACACAAATTCAGGCTCCCGACACACAAAGGCAAACTCTTTCTCAGTTATTTGAGTGCACTGACGGTGCACTTACTCAGCTGTCCTCGCCCTTTGCTCGAATGCAGTAGGCCTCAAACAATTCTCTTTCAGATTTCCTTTTAGTTTTCCAACTATTTTTTTTTTTTTGGTTTCGTCAAGATCAGGCGCACACAGACACCTATCACAGTGAATTGCTAGATTACCCGATGGTGGACTTTTAACAGTTAGGGCATGCTCGCGGGCCCTGCCGTTTATTCACCTCTCTGTTTGCCCTTTAATCGCTTTTCCGCGAGTCATAGGTATTTCGTAGACAACTGACGTTGCGCATTTTATGTACTGCGCGGCGTGTTTCTTGGAGCAAGCCTCAGCTTTTTTTTTGTTGTTGTTAACTCTTGAGCACAGACTGGACAATTTTGACGGCGCAGAGAACATCACGGGCACCTCAAATTGTGCGGCGACTCTTTTTAGACTGTGGGACAGCCCGTGGATGGAGGGGACTACCACCGGTCTTGTCTTTTTTCTCTGGTCGGCCGCTTCCCCTCCATGTCTTTTTTCAACCTTGGAAACCAAGGTTTCTCCAACTTCTTAAAAAAAAAACGCTCTGGATAGCCCGCCGTTCTAAAGTGTCCCACCTGATCAAGAAAGCTTTCGCTCATATTATGCCTACACGACTTGTCTAGGGAGGCTCTACACAACGACGACCGAGTTTCTTGTTTCACTAATTTGAACTGGGCAGACGAAAAAGGCAAAATGCCTTTCCTCAAGCGTGACTGGTACTTCCAGAATACGTGGTCCTTGTCGAAGTGCAACTTTAAATCCAAGAACTGCAGCCGTTTCGGCACCATAGTTTGGCTGGTGAAGGTGAGGCCCCATGTTTGTAACGACGACAGTATCAATAGAACAATACAGATTTTTTTTTTCCTCTAAATCGCGTGGCTTCACCTTCACCTACAAAATGATGGTGTCAAAACGGCTGCAGTTCTTGGATACAAACCTGCACTTCGACAAGAACCACGTATACTGGAAGTACCAGCCACGCTCGGAGAAAGACGTTTTGCCTTTTTCGTCTGCCCACTCCAAATTACTGAAACGAGGGATTGTGACGTCGTTGATGGGAGCCTCCCTAGACAAGTCGCGTAGGCATAACACGGGTGACAGCTTTCTTGATTAGGTGCGACGCCTTAAAACGGCGTGCTATCCAGAGCGTTTTTTGAAAAAAGATGCAGAAACACTGGTTTCAAATGTTAAAAAAAAAAAAAGAAACGGAGGAAAAGCGGCCGACCAGAGAAAGAAGACGAGACCAGTGGTAATCTCCTCCGTTCACGAGCTGTCCCACAGCCTAAAAAACACTCCGCGCAGTATATAAAATGCGCAACGTCATTTGTCTACGGAATACCTATGACTTGCGGAAAAGCGTATATAGGCAAAAGGGGAGGTTCATCAACGACAGGGCACACCAGCATGCTCTATCTGTTAGAAGTTCCCCCCCGGGTAATCTAGCAATTCACTGTGATAGGTGTCTCTGTGCGCCAAATCTTGACAAAACCAAAAAAAAATAAAAAATAGTAAAAAACTGCATTCGAGTAAAGGGCGAGGATAGCTGCGTAAGTGCACCGTCAGTGCACTTAAATAACTGAGAAAGAGTTTGCCTTTTGTGTCGGAAGCCTGAATTTGTGTACAAATAAATAGTAAGTGTGTTCCAATAAACGTTCAGTTGTAGGTTAGCGCTTGGTCCTGCCTGGTCTTCATCGTGTCCTCGTTTTTTAGACGTTTTACAAGTTAAAAGGGAGCGTGAGCTATCGAAAAATTGGGTCAGAAGCGGGGATCAGACCAGCAACCTTCTACTACCCAGGACAACATTTCAACCTTGCAAGCTGACAAGACGCGCAACGTTAAGAGTATTCGAAACTGACAGTACACAGAGAGCTGGTCGAAAAATTGAGTTCGTCGAAACCTGTGAACGGGACGGTGTAATCGGTTAAGGCGTCTTTCCGGATCCTGCTCCGGGCGGCCCGTCCGGCCCACGTTTCGCGGATGGATTCCGCAAAGGGACCGTGGAGCCTTGTTCGTGGAGCAAGGCTCCACGAACCAGCCAATCCGGCGTGAGCGCCGTTGCTAGGGTTTGTACCACCCGCGCGTTAAAAATATGGCCCCGCGGGTCGGGGGCCAGTGCCCTTGGTATTCCTTGGGCGCCGCCGGCCAGTTTTTGCCCTGCCCAGTGGCGGCCGTTTCAGGGGGGGGGGGGGGGGGGGGGGCAAAACACATGCCTTGCCCCCCCCATTCCGAGAATTGGGGGGGGGGGGGGGGGCAAGCGCCCCCCTTGCCCCACGGTTGGCACGCCCATGCTCCTTGGTACGGGCTGTCGCCCTTTCCGGGGTGCCACAACTCTCTTAAGCCAAAAAAATAAATAATAATAATAATTATTATTATTATTATTATTATTATTACTGCGTGGTGGACAATTATGACCCCAGGCTAGCGGTTGTACTGAACTGGCGAAATTTCTCATCTACAGCTGGGAAACACGTCGCCCGTTGAGGCAGACTAATACCTCTGTCAGACGGGCACGTTAAATGACATTTAAGCAAAATGACATTACAGCTTGGCCAATACCCGTGCTTCAAACGCCACGCCGCGCGTGAACGCGCCACGTGCAGAACCAGGATCACGAGCTGATTCGCCGAGCGGTGAATGACATTCGATCAAAATGACATTTACTTTCCCGTCCGACAGGGATGTAAGTTTTAGGCTGTATAAACATACACACCACAATTATTATTACTATTTCACAGTTTTCTCTGGTTTGGAGTGCATGCTTGTTTATTCTACCATTGAGTATGGACGCGAAAACCTCACGTTCGACGTGTTTTCAGTCAGCAAGAGTTATACCTTTTTAGTCTCGCGTCGCTAAAACGGCCTAAATTAGTCATGTCACATTTTTAGAGCACGGGACCACCGCTAGTGGCTGTTTCGCGGCTTGTGGTTCGCCACGAGATGTTTGCCTATTAAAACCAATGAATGGCAATCTCTCCCAATACACGGCTCTGCCTCGGTAGGTAGCCGATCAGCGAAAGAAAGCAGATGACACGCAGACGAAATACGTCGGCAGCAAGAACGCCGACGTGTTACTACCGCGTTTTTTTTTTTTTTATACTTCAAGTTGTATTTTTATTATTTGCGTTTATTTTGAAACCAAAGGTACACTACAAAAAGATCATCTTCAGTTTAGTAAATCACTGTCATCGCAACCAGGAAACATAAATCAATCTGGACCCGCGTGATGTAGTGATCGGCGCACTGTACATATTAAACCTGATGAACTGTTGTTCACAAAACCACTTGCATTCATGGTCGCCATATTAGATCACATAATGTAAAGACGAATAAGTCTTAAGATAGGAAGTGTATTGCGTACTTTAGCGAGTTTTGGAATAGCTTACGAAAAAGCTTTGTGTACGCGAAGAAATGACGTCATCGTAACTGCGTACTTGCCTAACCCAAACCGCGTTTCGAAATTGCGGAGACGCGCTATTCATTTGCGTACAAATTTTTTTTTGCGTAAGGTATTTTCGACCTTACCATTACGTATATGTGTAAGTTCGCTCGAGAACTAACCTTTGGGAAAATGGCGCCCCAGAAATTTCCTGGAAGTACACCCTCGAGGAGCTCTAGAAACGCTCCGAGGAACCGTGTGAAGCTCCCTTCGAGAGTTTGTTTTGAACGAGAGCTCGTTTCTGGGTCCTGTAAGCGATAGAAATAAACGTATAGATAAGTTTAATGCTGAGTGTGAAAAAAAAAAAGTTTCGTAAAATGTCTCATAAGGATTTGTAAATTTGAACGTCTTATGTTGACGGCTATAAATTTTGCTATGTACACAACCGAACATCTTTCCAACCTTTTTTTTCCCTTTCTTCTCTCTACTGACTGGATAAAACACACTTTCCTGAATTCAACCGGATAATATTTAGGCACTGGTTTAAGCGCGAGTTTATACATTTTTTTTTTTTTTTTATTGTTGCCACATTTTTGCGCGTGGGCAGAAAAACAACTCCTTTCTGGTTCAATACTTCCTCGAGAGCCTTCATCACCGTAACGCCATTTATTAACGTTAATATTCAGTTTAACATGATTAATTTTCACCCTCCTGTGGATCTTACTCTCGGTGTATATTACGGACAAGTTACCAAAACTCGGTCACAGAGCAGACTGAATTTCTGTTTAAAGGGGCCATGAAACGAATTTTGGGTTGGGATGAATGATTTTAAATTGGGACTTTACTAATCGCATATCGTTTAGTTGGCCAAAAGAAAGAGGCTAGAAAGTCAAAAGCCAGCTTTTCGGTACGAACATTTGAAAATATAGCGGACTATTTTGTACCTTCTTGCCTTCGAAAGCTCTCCGCCTCTTCACTATGATACATCCGCGGTTCCAAAAGCGCGTCACCGGCGCCAAACTGACGTCAGCAGAGCCCAGCTCACGCGTTGGACACGAGAATTGCGTCACTCGGACGCATGCGCTCGTCAACAATCAATCCGTCGACGAATATTTGGATTCGCGTTCGTTGCCAATGAGTGCCCTGCCGGAACTTATTGTCACTGGGGAATAACAAGTTCTATGGTGGTGCATAAAAAGCACGGTGGAAGCTAGGAGTCATCGCACCGGTGCCGAAGGAATGTCACGACCACGTGATTTCACAATTCTCATTTGAGTTGAGGATTAAAGCTAAGGAGGAAAAAGTAAGAAAATCGTTTCATGACCCCTTTAACCACCTCGGAGGTTAAGCGCCGGCCTGCTGATTGCAGTTGGCGGGTTCGAATCCCAACGAAGGATTTCGGTTCCGTGCAGAAAGATTCCCAGGAGGCCAAAATATTCCTCCAATACCCGGCTGGGGCGTGCCAAATGCTGTTCCTTAACTCAACACGTTAAAAAAAAATTTTTTTTTTTGATTGACCACTTTTTTTTTATCGTAAACAAACGTTGTCCAAGCTCGTTTAGTTTGATTCGAAGGCGGTATGGGCAGGTAGTTGCAAAGTTCAAATAAGCGTGACATTTGATATTAAAAATTCAGGAGAATAATATAGAATACGTTGGTCGTACCACTTTCACTTACGTAAATTTATAACCATATCAGTTCAACTTTGCTTGATTAATCTCAGTTCATTAATTCAACGTTTTGTTATGCGTAGGGTAACGACAGAGCTTTTTCACATCTATCAATCCCCAAATACACTGATATATTGTCACACATTTTTCTCAAGCACAAGAAGAGAAAAAGGTGACTATATTAGTTTTATTTTTTACTAGTTTGGTTTGTAAAAATTTAACATCATACTTACGGTGTAATTTCAAATGAAATTATATTTACATAAGCATATATTTAAATGTTTACGCAACAAATATGATAAACCACTTTTTCCTGGTCCCAAATAATATACCTATATTAGAAATTTCAGCCGTAATTTTATTGTCAACTGAGAAATTTCTAGACTGTGAACACACACAGACATGGGAGCGCACACAAAAGAAGTCTGCCAATCGGTAGCTAGTTTCTTCGGACACCTCCATGATAGTATGCAAGCAGTAACATTTTTTTGCTCTTAATGTTACGTGAATTTAGATCATTTGCACCCTCCTGTGGATCTGACTTTCAGTATATGACATAATAAGGGCATACATACAAGGATACTGAGCAGGCTGAGCCGCCCACAGTTTGGAACAAAAATTAACGTGGTCCAAGCCGTCTTTGTTTCATGGATTGGCAGCTGTGTCAGGTGGTCGAACCTTTGTATAAACGGGCTATGTGACTTCGAAGAGTCGAAGGTAAATGAAAAAACCAAGCTTCAAACTGGTTCAATTTACATGATATTTCTAGGTGTCTACTTTGCTTACTACATATATCTGAATCAACTTTGAACTTCTACAATTCATCACTACCCTCCAAAGTATTTGGAGACTTGGGCGGGGAGGGGGGGTGAGAGGGAGGGGGGAGGAAGGAGTAGACTTAGATGAAAAAAAGAGGACACACCCATGCCTTCCCTTTCCGACGTAGATACCTCATATATACCTTGCAGAGTTCGGTTTCAGTATCTTTTGGCTAAGCTCTCAGCATGTTCGTCTTTATTAGGACTGGCGATTAGAATCGCCAAAAAAATTGTTATCGTGAGGGATTTTTTTTTTCTCCCGTACCGTATAAAACTTACGCCTGACTGCGAGGCGACAGACACGTGCGTGCGGGCCAGAGCGATGTCGATGGACAGTCCCGTCAGAAGTTGCAGAACTTAAACAAAAAAATATATGTACATAAATTGTACATCCATTGTGTGGACTAAAATCCTTTTTTAGGTTGAGACACTAGGAGCCAAAGTCAGGAGGATTAAAAAAATACTCACGAAATAAACGATGGTAGAACTTCATTGTAGTCTCTTACACCGATAGAATAAAAAATACGGTCTGTTAAAAATGAGAGATTAGGTCAGGGCCGGAAAATGTGGAATGGTGTTATCTATCAGAAATTTTTATTATCTAAGACATTTGGCACGAGACAACGAAGGGACGGAGATGTTTATAAACACTTTGTGATGAGGTCAATGCAAGTTTGCCGTTAAACGGTAGTCACAGTCTATCGTGCATCAACCCTCAAGAACATCTTATCATAGATTCGAATACAAATATTTAAAACCGTAGCCCCTGTCCGGTTCTATCAGCCTGACTTGGAAGAGGTCACGGCGTGGACCTATACATATGATATTGTAAAACCAGCGTTCAGGGTGAGCTAATCTGATATTTTTGCTATTGCTTCTCATTTCCAAATCACCTCAGTATATACTCTAAAACAAGTACGTAAATTCACTTTCTTGTGAAACACGCAAACAACCAATCAGGGCGAAAAGCAGAAAGATCCCAGCGAAATACAAAGCTCAAAATATAACTTGATCTAAAACAATCGAAAACAAAAAAGACGAAGAGCACAGGGTTAATGAGCAGGTGAACCCAAGCTTCGAATTTCGCTAGAATCTTCCCCTTGATTGACTGGCTTGTGTTTTGCCAAAAATCAATCTGCTGTCCTTTTTTTACGTAGGTAAAACATTACGTTCAGTTGATTTGAAATTGTAAGGTGGTACGATTGATGTGCCGTCAAGTTTCACTTTTTAACCGAGAGCCAGGTTATGAGTCACAAGCCTCAAATCTCGTGCCCCCAACTGCACACGTAAGTCCCATGGCAAAGATCCCCGTTGAAGTGAATGTAAATCACGTAAAAAATTCACATGCATGAAAAGAGGACAAACTAAAGTCTTATGACGAAGTGCGTCATCTTTTACAACTATATGCAGCCAAGAAAAAGCTTCGTCATGCTTGTGGCTCCCATACTCCACAGCTTTTGTTGCTGAACATTCAGGGAGATGTTTGTACCTAAAAGATACAGAGTGCGCCAGTCACCTATAAACTTTAAAAAAATGCAGATTCATCTTTTATGTGAAGTTGAAATAATGCAGCGAATGACACGTGGCCTTTCAAGATGACGCGCCACCTCTTCGTATTGTCTCACAATGAACAATAGCGGAACGGCAGCAATACTTATCAGCGAAAATGTATACAATGTGGATTTTGAAACTAAGAAATAAAACTAAAAACCAACGTCAAAAAAAAAGTTCTTTTTTATTTAGGTTAGTAAGATAGGCTTTTACGAAAAGCAAATACGTGCACGTTTTTGCCAGTATGGGCCTTGCCAGTCCGAAACTACTCACGCAAAAAAGTTTTGATGCATTTAGCATACCAGCGCCTGCCACAATAAAGTTTAAAAGGTGGTAAGTATCCTCAATATAAATGTATTACAATAAAAAAGTGAGCGTACTTAGAGATAACGGGTTCAACAACTTGAACGACAGCGTGGTTCGTCGAGAAGATTTTAACCTACCTCGATTGAACACAGGTCCTCGAAACCTGTGCTTCCACCGTTGGTATCTGCCAGGATGAAACTGCGCGATTATGTAAGCGGCGATATGTTCGAGGCTTAGTCAGAAAAATACGTGCCATCTGCTTCTGCTGCACAACCAACGATGAATATATTAGAGAGGAAACATTAAGAGCAATGAACCTTATATATTTGCTTTTTGTTCTTGTTTTCTTCTGGAGATTAATGCGCTGAAAAAAAGAAAAGTCCGAGTGCTGTGGATTTTTTTTTTCTACTCACTAGCCTATTACTCAACCACTTTGAAGCTTCTATTACTTTTTTATTGCTGTTTTGTGCTTCATAAAAACTCAACCCCTCCCACTGAAGAAAAAAGAAAAGAAGAAACCGTTTGTACTCAAGTACAGGTTTTAGCACTCTGGAGTATTAACACGTTACTAGCAACGCTTTACAGTAACTTCTTTAACGTCGAAACAGCAAGACGTGCTAATTCATAATTAAAAAAATAACGGAAAAAGTAACGCAAGTTACTTTTTATGGGTAACGGTAACAGTAGCGCGTTTTTTTTATTTTTATTATTTTTATTTTGAGGTAATGTAGGACGGTAACGTGTACCCTTTATTTGCAAGTAACGAGTACCGTATTTCGTTGCTTTTTTTTTGGTAACACCTACAACATTGTCTGCATTGCCATGTCGCTCCTCCCTTTAACTTTAAACAGAGAATTCTAGTAATAATATTTAAAAAAAAAAAGATTCTTTTTTTAGGAGGGTGTTTAGGTAGTGAAAGGTTATTCTGCCTTCAGGTTGTGGGAGCCGAGGATGAAAGACGAGGCAGAGAGCACGTGACAGGCGGCCGGCGGAGAAGGCACGAGCTGGGCGAGACATTGCGAGCTGAGCGAGGCTGGTAGCTGGACAAGGAACGTTGAAGCCAAGCTGCCTGGCCTAGGCCTGGCCTGGCCCATAACGAACCCCGGAGCGGTCCACCAGCGAGGTCTGGAGCAAGACCGGTGGAAACGGCGAGCCCGGGCCATATGACCTGGGCTATGACGATCCCGGGGTGGTTCCGCAGCGAGACTCGGGCATTGA